CGGGAGCCGGGTTGTCACCCTCAGCGCGGGTGAAGGGGTGTGATCCGGGCGGGGGGTGCTGAGCCGGACAGGCTCCGGGTGTGTGTCTGCCGGCCTGCCCGCTGCTGTCACACGAGACCGGGAACTGTGTGTGTGTGTGTGTGTGTGTGTGTGTGGAGACACCGGGTTTCCCTGCGGTATTTTCACGTACTTGTGGGACTTCCCTGCCCACCTCTCTGGCTCAGGTAGTTTCTTGCCGTGGATGCCACCGGCACGTCTCGTCACTCGGCATTTCTAGCTCTTCCACACCGCAAGTGACCCATGTGGTGGTTTCCTCACATAGGACAGAGAGGCACAGCAATGACACGGAAGCGTTTCTTTTTGTTTTCCTTATTGTCATCCCACACCTCGCTGTTGTTTTCCGAGATTAACACACTCAGGAGCTAACGGTGGTGTCTAAGTGTAGCCAAAACAAACCCGCACATTCACAGAGTATGGAGGTGCTTTGTATTTTGGTCTGAAATCAGAGTTCCCCAAAGCCTGCTGCCTCTGGAACAGCATCTTGGTAGTAGCATCTTGCTGCTCTGGCTGAAGGAAAATGCAATCTATTTTTTGCATTAGTTACTGTTGGAGCAGCAGTGCGTTTCAGGGTGGGCAAGCTTGTAACTACGTTCCTGTCTGGCAGCCTGATGTCACAAGTTTATTTTGCTTCTTCTGCAATGCCTTTACGGTTAAGTGCCTCAGACAAGCTCCTGTTTTGCAAGCACAGTCTGCCTTTCCCTCCAGGATGGCTCTAGTCCGTCCTGATTGCCCACAGAGAGAATGCTTGCATCATAACTCAAATGTTTTTGTTGTGTTAGGGAAACAGTGAGGAAACAGGAGAAAAAGGAATTACTTTCCACCCTGAGGCAGTTGCAGAAGTTTCCATTTTGCAGGGTGGTTGGGTCTGATCACTCCTGAAGAGCTTTCAGTGGAGCACTGGCCTAAGAGGGTGATGGGTGTGTGCCTGCCTTCTCAGTGCTGGCAGCTGTAAAACATCCTGTTTTGAAGATATTACTGATGTTTATTTGTGTACCTCGCTGTGTATCTCAACATGGAGACATCCAGGCAAATACCATAGGTTTCTGGCTATTTCATGTTGAGAAGCAGTGTGGTTCTGCCTTGAATCACTTGGAGCTGTGACCCTGACCTGGTCAGTGTCAGATGGTGTCTTTTTTTTTTTTCCATTGACTTAAGAAAGTGTTGTATAATTAACAAGGAGGCACTTTTCTGTCTTCTCTATTGAATCAATGATATAGTATCTATGCAATTAGTAATCCTTGCTTATTTGGAAACAGCAGTGAGTGACCAATATTTTGCAAAGTTACCTTCCTTGAGTCAATATTTTCTATAATTCGTGCCCCCAACAGTGGTTTTATTCTATATGCAATAACAAAAGTAAAAAAAAAATAATTATGACACCCACTCTAAAGCTGGCCATTTTCATTAGTCATTTTCCATCTCATTTCAATTATATAGTGTGATTTGCAAGTGCTTAATATTTTATATGTCTCCAGAGTTACAGATTACTGTGTTTTTCTTTCATTTGTGATTTCAGGGTGTGTGCAATATTGCCTATTGCTCCAGCAGCTGTTGAGAGAGTATCTTCCCAAATAAATGCAGAACTGAATTGCTAGAAAGAGCAGCAGAATGTAAGAGCAAAGCCTGATGCCAAGGTTGTGCTTGGTGAAGGCCAGGCTTTAGTTTAGTAAGTGGTCATTAGCCTTGATTTCTGTAGGAGGAGAACTTTGGAAATGTGGTGCACAGGCTCCCCTGGCACATCCCAAGGAAAGTGCCTATAATTTGATGAAGAAAATAACAATCCTTGATATTAGGAGACACTAAGAGACCATCCAGAGTTTCTGCTCCTCTCTTTGAAACATGGCCTTACATCCAGAATTCAGAGGCTCCAATCCAGAGCATTTTCTAGTGCTCAAATGCAGGAGGATTGGTCCACACTACAGTACTGACAAAACTGCATGCCAAACCAATTTCTCTGATACAGTTTTGTTGAGGTGATATGAACAAACTATTTGATCCAAATAATGTTTTACTTATATAGGTTTCCCATTCTCCCAGTAGTAGTTCTAATCTGTATGTTTCAGTGGCACCTTCAGAAGCATTTGATGGCATTTTGGGTGCTCTTGTAAGTAATGCCACGTTAGCATTGCATAGCTACTTCAGTGAAAACCAGAAGGTCTGGCTAATATGCTCTTTTAAAGCCCAATTAGGACACCTGAGCCAAATCCAACCACCTTCTCTCGTTTCCCCCCCCCACCCCCCCTCCCCCAGTTGCCTTGAAGAAAAGGGCTAAGATGAAGGTACTTAACAGTTGAGACTGATGAAGTGATTCTATTTCATAGCTCCAGTACTGCAACTTCATGTTGTTCTAATATGTCTTCTATACTTCCTCTTCCAGGTACTTCGTACTTAACAGATATAGTATGGTGGTCTGGCACTATTGCAAGTAAGTATTTTTAAAGGTTTCATTTTTATATTTTTTTTTTAAGGGGAGAATTTGTGGTTGGATGGTGAAATGAGACATCAGGAAACCTGGGTTCTCATCTTGACTCTCATGCTCACTTGTCACAAAATGCCCATCCCTGAGAAATATCCCACCTGTAGTCATCTCCCTCTGTCTGATGGTGTTTGAGGAAGGCAAAGAGCTGGGACAATCCCAAGACAGACATCTTTCCAGATTCCTGAACCATTTGGTACTTACAGCCCTTCAGCAGCCACATGCTACTTTGGGCTCTTGCAGGGTTTGTGCTTCTGGATTGTGCTGGTCCACTCAGTTTTTAATAAAAGTCAAAGCTGAATAAGAAGTTGTTGCTCTGCACAAAAGGGCTCATTGAGCACATGTTATTTTTTTAGCTCAGAAAGCACTTAGCCAGCCTCAATTGAAAAGAAAAAAAAATCCTTTTTGATTTCTAGTTTGACAGATAGAGTTTCAGTTTTGCTTTTAATCTACAAGATTAATGCGAGGCCTTGTGTGGTGCTGATACGAGATCAGTGTAATTGCACTCTTAGTATCTTTGTAAACTCTGCTCAGGCTAAGTTCATTCTCTGATGTGAATCCAGGGCATGTGGAGCAGCTAGCTTTCTCCTCTTGCAGTTCAGTCCTAGTTCTTCTACCCATGAGCTTAAAAACTTGCAGGCTCTAACCCAGCCTTTTGCAAATTACTTGAAAATGTTCTGATGCTGTTTCTATGAAATATATGCATCCATTTCTGGCCCTTGTTTCATGGCAACAAGGTAAGTCTCTGGTTTTGTTTTCAAGATATGCAAAAGGAATGGAAACTGATAGATCCGTTGAAGGACAAAGTTCACAGCAAGTGTAGAAGCCAGCAGAGCTTCCAAGGAGAGTTTTCAGCTAATTTAACCTGAATTTAACTAGTTCTTTGTCACCTTCTTCCTCTGCCAGGCTCAATACTGCCTAAGGAGCAATAAATCTATTCATTAATCACTGCTGTTTATCACTTATGAGGCTCCTGTCTTGGTCTTTGAGCTGAAGGAGTTAAAATAGGAGAATTTATTACACAATTTCATCTTAGTGAATCAGAGAAAACAATTTCATGCTTAAAAGAGTTGGCTGAATTGAATGGAGACAAAATAGCTGAAGGGAATGGTATCTGTTGGCTTTTGTCCAGGAGCTAGGTGCAGGTATTTCTAAACAAAGCCTCAGTAAGTTTGCAAAGGAAGCAAGGGAAGAATTGCTCAAGGATATTATATATTCAGAATTGCAGCAGAGTCACAAGCAGCAATCCCAAGGGCCTGGCAGGCACCTGTGGGATGCAGGGAAAGGCGGTGTTTGGGGAATCAGTGAAATCCCCAGTTAGCTGAGGCATAATTTTCTCAAGCAGGGAATTTGGAGTTTGGATGACTAACAAAACCTGCATGAAATCTGTCAACTTGTTTTCATAGTATTTGTTCAGATGGTGAACAAGCATTTCTGTGTTGGCATGCTGACTCAGCATAACACTGCCTACCCATTCTGGGGCCTTGGGAACCACTGGATTACTGAAGACTTCAAATGAAGGGCTACAGATTCTGCTAAGGGATTGTTTTTTTGCAAGTGTAAAGAGTGATTGCAGCATGTGTAAAGGTATTTCAGTGAGCATTAAACTAATTACTTGGCCGATTAATTAGTTTCAGTGCAGGTTTTGATAGCAGTATAGATGTGGCTGGTTTTTATAGTGGATGCATCTATGTCAGCATTTCATTGCAGATGGAGAATGCACTTGTGAAACAAATCTCCTGTTTGTCTCCACGGACTGGGCTTCCTTCCATGTTTTGGAGAAGTGTTGGAGCTCCTGAACTAGCCTTTAAGATTAAGCTAGGCTGGGAGGTGTACTCTAGGAACATGCCTAATGCACACCAGCTGCAAGCAGACTTTCAATATATAGGAGCAGACTGAAGTTAGTCTGAAGGAAAACCCCTGACATGCATAAAGCAGACATCTTTTGCTGTACAGAGATACTCCCGATTTCCATGCTAATGTAGGTTTGTCAGTGTGCATCAAATTCTCTGTTGCAATACCTTAGGAGATACTGGTACTCCTTTAGCAAGCTTAAAGCTTGGTCTGCCTTCAAGAGCTGAAGCTGTGAATTGACTTAGAGCATTGATGTATCTGGAGAGAAATTTCTATCCAGAGGGTACTGGGTAGGCTGGCAACAAGTTCCTCAACATCAGGGAGATAATAACAGTTGCTGAGATTCTTTTTTTAATTGGCTTTAATTAGTCCTAGTCTGACATTCATGGTGGTAAGAGGCTTACCTAAGAGGTGGTGATACTGAAAACCTCTGCTAAGTTCAGTAGCTGTACAATATGTGAGGCTTGAAGCTTCAGAGACCTATTTGAAGGCTCAGTGTTGGTGCCATCTGTTAGGGTTGTTCCAATAGAAAGTTAAGGCAGCCGACCTACAAAAAGCATAACCTTTTGTCACAGTCACTTAGAAATGTGTGTAACCTGCAGAAACACGGTGTGCTGTTTCCTGCCCTCCCTGCAAGATCTGCCCCAGTGCCTTCAGATGCCCTGAGGATAATGCCAAAGTTTCCCCATATGTCTGCTGGGGAAGAAGCCCAAAGCTGATAGCTGAGTTATTCTGTCCCAGGGGCAGGGCGATTTCAGGAGATGATCACTGACTCTTTTGCTCTAGAAATGCTGCTTAGTAACTTCTCTGGCTTTACTCCTGCACACAGAGAGAAAGCCTCAGTGAATTGAACTAGTGTAATATTGCCACACTCTGCTGTTTTGGAAGCTTGTCTCCTTCATGTTTCCTCTAGGTTACACAGGTCTTCAGCTCTACTGATAATATGATCTAATTTAGTAAATTAATTAATGTTTGCACAGTGTTTTGCAGGTGTAAAGAACAGGATGATGGTAATGATATTTGATAGTTTAGGGCAGTGCCAGCCTGAGGATAAAGGCAGCTTGGATTCTTGAAATGTTTTTAAGCGCTCTTAACATCAACTGGAAATTTGAGCTGTATGTAATTTGTGCTCAATCTCAAGGTTCTTGCCAGTTACCACAGACCCTGTAACTATGCAAGCATCATGTTGACCTATTATAAACTTGCCAGCATTTGCAAAACCATCCAGCTTTTCTTTTTTAACTAAAAACTGGAATGTGTGAACTGTTTATCACAGCTGTGATGTGCAACAGTGTGGTACACCTTGGGATTTGCTTTTATTGGAAAAGAAGAAGTTTGTGAGTCTGTTACTGTGACTTGTCAAGGGTCTGTTCCTTTTACAGTGTCAGGAATTACTTTTGATGTTTTAGAGTGTTGTGAAAAATTGATGTGGTCTACTGTATATTGAAGATATATAGTAGAAAAAGTATTTCATTAGTAGATTCCTCATTACTGTCCTTATTTCCCTTCAAAAAGATGACACTGCTGTTAAGAACTATAACCAAGTACATTTGTGTTCCATGTATCACATTCTAAAGCTGAAATCATGCCTTATTTATACTTTTGGCCCTTCTTGTAAATACTTGAGCGTAATACCTAAATACTGGATTGTAATCCATGAGTGCTTCTAATTCATAGTCTTATTTATATTCAACTAAGAAGAGTTGCAAACGAGATTATTTACTGTGCCCCCTTGGATCTTTTGTGGCAAATATAAATCCTACATTAAAAAAGAATTTTAAACTGCAGAAAAATGCCAGCCATTTTGTTTAAGCCCAAAACTAACAAAGCCAAGCAAATTTGTAACATCTGTTTTCCCGTTAGGACAGTCTTTCCCAAACAGTATTGGGTAAGTTTTCATTACTTCTTTTTACAAAGGGATTTAGAGGCTTATTTCTGGTTCTTTTGCTAGTGGCTCTGGGTCAAATAGGGAATTTCTTGGCCTACACTGCAGTTCCAACTGTGCTAGTGACGCCCTTGGGAGCTCTTGGCGTTCCATTTGGGTAAGAGTTTGCTTTTCTTGTTCTTATTTGAATATTATTACTACTTAATAAAATGTCAGATAGACTTGGTGATCACTGGAGTTCCACTGACAAGTTGTCAGGCTTATATAAGTGTTAATCATGTGTTATAATGTCACCTATTCATGTTTGCCCCAGCAAAGTAGGGGAAGGGGGGGCAGGCAGTGGTGAAGAAAAGGTTCCTGAGCAGCTTTTGCTTTAGCTATCACTGTGATCTGGAACAGATAGACATCTGAGGGTTTTTTTGGTTGGTTGGTTATGTTTTTTTCCCTTTCACTGTGGTTGTTCTGGGCTCTTCTACTTATTCTGTTATTCACAGTTCCCTTACTATGTAGATCTGCCCTTTTGTCTCACATTCTTTCTCTCCCTGGCTATCCACAACCCACGTGTGCTTACTGAGGCTGCTTTTCATTTGGTTGGATTTGGCCCAGTTTCCTGAAGTCAGAGAGTGCCTTGCATATGCACACCCATAGCTTCCTGAATGTTATGTTCATGTGAAGGGAGGGAACAAAAAAGGCAGTGACTGTTGCTAAAAGGAGTTTAATATGCAACTGAATGTTTTGTGAATAGCTAAACTGCAGTGGTGAACCTACTGCAGTGAAAAAGTACAATTCTTTAAAAACAAAGCTGTGTGTTGCATCGAGATTTTTCTGTTGGCTGCTGAATTGTGTGTCTGACTGCACTGCTCATCTACTTCAGAGTGCAGATTGCTTTGTATGTTCTTTAGTTTTATACACCAGGAAGCATGCTGCTGGTGCTCTATTTACCATCTATTCTTTTACCCCGGGCCATGGAGTTTTGTGTATTTCGGTCAGCTACATGTCTGACCTGAGCCCTGTAATCTTTGTAACCAGAGGCCAATTTTATCTCATGACTGCAGAGCACCTATAAAATGAGGCTTTGTGGCAGCTCCCCAAGTAGTTCATGGGTAGATATCTGCCTTGGGTGTCAGATGCTTGGTGTGATGGTTTAGGGTTTTTTTCGGAGACAGTCATGTGTGTGTTTTGGGGGTGTTGTAGCTGCGTTTGTTGTTGTGGGGCTTGGTTTGTTTGTTTTTTCCTAAGCTGAAAATGAAGGATTGAGTAAGATTGAGACTGCTGGATCTTTCCTAAGATAAGTCAGAAATGCTTTTCGAGGATCCACCACCATTTGGTCGAAGATCAACACCAACATTTGATACTATTTCTTAAAGAGGGAAATGCATGTAAGACATCACTGCTGGAACATTATTAACCGGACGAGGTCAAACTTTTTAATTTTCTTGCTCTTTTTTGAAAGGTCTATTTTAGCTTCTTACTTACTGAAAGAAAAGCTGAACATTCTTGGCAAGCTGGGATGTTTGCTGAGCTGCGCTGGGTCTGTTGTTCTCATCATCCATTCCCCTAAGTCTGAGAGTGTAACGACTCAGGCTGAGCTTGAAGAGAAGCTTACGAATCCAGGTACTTTGTTCTTTTATTAACTGATGATGATTTTGTGAGATTGATCAAGAGCACACAGGAGGAAGAGGCTTACCACTGCTGTCAGGTAGGAAAACTGACTTCTGGAGAAACCATGACATGACAGAGGAAAACCAGAACAGCTTTTGTTGTGTGGTAAAACTATTCCTTGCTGTTGTAGGTACTCAGCAGATTTGTTGTTAAATGTGGACAGAAAAGAAAATGTGGATACTTTTGAAAACTTGATCCTGCACAGCAAGCTCAGAACACTTGTAACTTGTAATTTTCTGACATTATTAAAAAGCATATCTTGCTACTTAGAGCTGAAAGGCAAGATTCCAATATCCCAATTTAAGTTGTTTCATACAAAACAAAAAGTACAGTCTTTTGTTCTATAATTTTGCATTTGCTTCTTTGTTTTTTTAATTAAGAGTTTATACTAGAGTACAGTTATATTCCAAGCAGATTTCTTTGCCTAATGAAGATGTGTAGAAATAAGCTGTTGAGATGTATGTTGAAATACTTGCTCTTTCTCACAGAGAATGTAAAGCCCCACACTAGTTCCTGGAGGACACGTTCTAGTGATAACAAGTGCCAGACCCACTTTTGTTTTTCTTGTGTGAGAGCTAAACTGCCAACTGTTGTTATTCCCTTTAACTCCTTTAGGTGAGAGAAGCTCAAGCCTAATAACATCAGCTATCCAAAAAATGTGCAAACAAAGAAAATAAGATAAATACCTGGTCTAAATGTAACATTTCGATCTGACCAAAATGAATTGGAAATATATGTCTTTAAAACTGTAAAGCCTGAAATGTTTTTCACCAGTCTAACCTGTGTACTGATGCTGGAATGTAAATGATGCAGCCTCCCAGTTCCTTAAACTCTCCCTATTCACCTTAATGGCATCTAACTTTATGTTTAAGCTCTGTGCTGGTTCCACACACTGTGCTTTATTGAACTGGTTACGAATGAGGTGTTTTCACTGCCATCTGTCATAGGGGGCTTTAAGGAGTATAATCCTGGTGGAAGAGAGAATTTAAAAAGCCAGCCATCCTAAATGGAGTTCAAATGTGCAACAGTGTCTGTCTTACTGCATGATTATTTGTATTGCACAAAGAGCTTGACAACATCACCAGTTGCAGATGCGCCCATATGATCTCTGAAAGCTCAGTGATTTGGATCTGTATTCAATAGCAATTCTTCATTGTGGTGTATACATCAAGTTCACTGGTATGACATGATTTACCTGCTAAAATCTTGACAAGACCAAGAGTTCTCACCTTGCTATTCTTTTGTTGTCTTTTTGTTTTCCAGTTTTCGTGGGTTATCTCTGCATAGTGCTGCTAATGCTTCTCCTCCTTATCTTCTGGATAGCTCCAGCTCATGGACCTACTAATATCATGGTTTACATCAGTATTTGCTCTCTGTTGGGCAGTTTCACTGTTCCCAGCACAAAAGGCATTGGGCTGGCTGCTCAAGATATCTTTCACAATAACCCCTCAAGTCAAAGGGCTCTGTACCTCTGTTTGGTACTTCTGGCAGTATTAGGATGTAGCATTATCATTCAGTTCAGATACATCAATAAGGCACTGGAATGTTTTGACTCCTCTGTGTTTGGTGCCATCTACTATGTTGTGTTTACCACTCTAGTCCTGCTGGCTTCAGCCATCCTTTTCAGGGAATGGAGTAATGTAGGAGTGGTTGATTTCTTGGGAATGGCTTGTGGATTCACCACAGTGTCTATTGGAATTGTTCTTATACAAGTCTTCAAGGAATTCAACTTCAATATCGGGGATTTAAATAAACCTAACATGAAGACAGATTAAAAAAAAATAGGGGAAACTGGATGGCTCAGGGAAGGATGCAGAGCCTTTCATTTCTAGGTCACTGAATCAAATATGATTCAGGTTGGTAGTTACCCTCTGACGATTTGGTGGCCTACATGAAATGAATGGGAGTCCTCCATCCAGTTTCAAAGGAACAGTTGTCCATGTAACCCCAGTCAACACAATAAAAGACCTTAATTTGAACCACTGATTGAGTCACCATAGAGACTGATGTATTTCCTTACTGGAAAAGGTAATCAATCTGAAAAGATCAGGGGATACTCTGGCAGACGTCTGTGTGCAAGCTTGTCTTGTGGCTTCTGAGGTACCATTTTGGTGGGCAGAGACCATCAGTTCCTAATGCACTCAATCTGACACCTTTTATGAGTGATGTATACCTTAAAAAATGGGGGGAGAAAAGTGAGCGAAACAATTTAATCTCAATATAGCAATGTGTTCACCATCAAAGCTGTGAATTCCAAGACAAATGTTTGTTGACTCCATGGACTGCAGATTTGTCTTTTTTAGTGACTGTCTTGGCAACTTGGACTACCATACAGAGAAGACACTGGGGAGTTTTAAATTGTATTATTTATACAGAGCAGTGGACCATTAAAAAAATCTTTCACTAATTAATTATCAGCTGATGGTAGTGTCCAGGTATGCATTTTTCTTTGTAATTTAGTGCACTAAGACATACCCCATTCATCTGAGAGTTTTTAATTGGGAGCAGACAGAGAGACTGTGAAGGTTGTGGAAATTATGCATAGACTCATAGCCTATATGGTGGCTTATTTGTAAGCAGCTCAGAACTATTTCAGTGCCTTTGTAATCCAAAAACACTGCATAAATGTGAATGTGTCTGTTTCAGATGGCCTGTACTGGTTTAATAATTCAGTTTCACTGTCTATAATATTGGACCGTATTCAAATTCTAAACACATCCAGAAGGAGCCACACATTTTTGGAAGAATTATATAACCTGAACTGAAACCCTTAGATGCCTTGACAGCTTCTAAAAAAAACCATAGTCCTAATGGGAAGAGGTAATCCATGGGAGGAGGCAGTCCAGCAGACCTTGATTCTAGTTAAGTAACTGTGGGAAACCATTTTGTGAACTAGTTAATCAGCAACCACCAAAAAAAGAAAATAAAAGATATTTGAGAGAGAAGAGCATGAGATTTCTCATAGCTCAAAAAAAGGTGGACTGACCCTCATGTAACATGAGAAAGCACAGGCATTCAGAGGGCTGAGTTTCAGAGAGCCAGCAGGGATATACATTCAGATCCAGTAATTTACAGACCTGTGTGAACAGTTCAGCAATAATATTTTGACAAGTAGTAAAAATAGCTTAAGCTATGATTGGGATGATTCTGAACTGTTCACTTTAAGCCATTTAGAGAATATTGAGATGTCAAAGAAAGAAATAGTTAATTTTCATGTTGTACTTATATTTGGTAGTTAAAACATCTTGAGTCAAAAACTTGTAAGGAAAGCTTGAAAAGTTGGTTGGTTGGTAATGTTGGTTACTGTGTAAGTACAAAGGGTCCAGTGGAACTCAGCATCT